GAATTTAAAGTTTTCCCTGAAATTTGTCTAACTCTATTTACAAAACGTCTCTTGGCTTAAGCGTGTATCTTTTCTATAGATATCAAATGTGTATTTTTAATTTACTCTCTGATGGTCATTTATTCAACAAATTCTTAATTGTTCCCAGAACCATGTGTTCTAGACCCTGGAGATAAATGCAGTGAACAAAATAGGCAAGATTCTTGGGGCTGGAGAGATAGCTCAATCATCAGTGGTCTGCCAAAGGACCTAGGTTCAACTCCCAGCACCCAAATGGCAGCTCATACCTGTCTGTAACTCCAGTTCCAGGGTTTCTGACACCCTCACACAGACTTACATGCAGGTAAAACACCAATAAACATAAAAATAAATTAACAGAAAAAAAATAAAAACAAACCAGGCAATATTCCAGAAATTTGGCAGTTTTTTGGTGTTTCCCTTCTAGGTACTTTAGACACTTCAGAGCAATGGCTGTTCTGTCTTCTCCAGGCTGTCTCTTAGCTCTATATTCTGATTTCCCAATAAAACAATAGCCCATATTGTAGGGGACTGTGAACTAACTAAGGTTACATTCTTCCTAACCAGAGTAGAACTAGAGCAGTCCCTAAGAAAAAAGAAACAAAGTCTAAATTAAGGTGTAGGGGAGGCAAGGTGTAGTGGAACATGCCTTTAACCCCAGTACTTAGGAGGGCAAAGCAGACAGAGCTCTGTGAGTTTGAGGCCAGCCTGGTCTACACAGTGAGTTCCAGGACAGCCAGCGCTACATAAGAAAAACCCTGTCTCAGGGCTGGAGAGATGGCTCAGAGGTTAAGAGCATTGCCTGCTCTTCCAAAGGTCCTGAGTTCAATTCCCAGCAACCACATGGTGGCTTACAATCATCTGTAATGAGATCTGGAGCCCTCTTCTGGCCTATAGTCGTACACACAGACAGAATATTGTATACATAATAAATTAATTAATTAATTAATTAAAAAAAAGAAAGACCCTGTCTCAAAACAAAATAAAAACCACAAAGGTGTAGGGAAGAATGCAAATCACAAGAGTGACCTGAGTCACTAAGGAAGATGAGACTGTGGGATGTCAACTAGTAAGAACATTAGATTCACCCTAGAAGTGATGAAGGACTCCATGTCTAGTGGTCATTTAGAAGGAAATAAAGAATTAACAGAAGAACCAGAATTGAAGCCAGGTATGAATCCCAGCACTTGGGAGACTGAAGCAGGAGGATCTCTCAAATTGGAGGGTAGCTTGGGTACACAACCAGACTCTATCTCCAAAAAACAAAAGCAGAAGCACACATACACACACACACACACACACACAGCAAGAGAGCGAGAGAGCGAGAGAGCGAGAGAGCGAGAGAGCGAGAGAGCGAGAGAGCGAGAGAGAGAGAGAGAGAGAGAGAGAGAAAGCCAAGCCCAAGTAGGGGTAGAGATGTCAGTCCAAGGACCCAAGGACAGTGAAGTAAAGTGGTCTCTACTTCCAAGTCTATTCTGGACGTGAATGGATGTAATGATATTTCATTTCCATTTTAATAAATAAATCTTGCTTGTGGTCAGTACAAAGCAGCCACACTAGTCAGTCACACAGGCCAAGCCAGCTAGCTCAGTCAATATAGCATGAGACTCTTAATCTCAGGGTCGTAGGTTTGAGCCCCTCATTAGATACCAAACACCACGAATAATAAAAACCCAGAGACACATATTGAGGTTCAACCTGAAAAGTAAGAACAGTCAAATCACTAGAAAGCTCTGAACTCTTTGAAATCTTCAGACTAAAAGAGAAAACATTCCTGTTTCATTCCGCCTTATAGTCTACTCTAGTGCTGGGATTAAAGGTGTGCACCACCAACTCCCAGCCTCTATGGTTAACTAGGGTAGCTGCTGAGATTAAAAGTATGTGCAACCGGGCTGGAGAGATGGCTCAGCGGTTAAGAGCATTGCCTGCTCTTCCAAAGGTCCTGAGTTCAATTCCCAGCAACCACATGGTGGCTCACAGCCATCTATAATGAGATCTGGTGCCCTCTTCTGGCCTGCAGGCATACAGACAGAATATTGTATACATAATAAATAAATATACATATTTAAAAAAAAAAGTATGTGCAACCACTGCCTGGCCTGTATGGTTAACTATTGTGGCTGCTTAACACTGGCCTTCAGACAAGATTTATTAATTTATTATTTATTTATTAAAATACAAATGAAATATCACTACAAGTGGAGGAACATGTATTAAGGGGAGGGAAGAAGTATGAGATTAGGCCTCAGAAAGTGGCACCAGACAGGCAAGACAAAGTGGAGCAGTAAAGACAAGGTAAGAAAATGGATACCACTGCTCTGAAGTGGCCAGCCAAGAGCAAGGCTGATTCATAACAACAAGAATGACTGCCCACACCAAACACTGACAGTCACAAGATCTGAGGAGGCAGCAGTGGTGTAGTGCACACCGAGCCATGTTCAAACTTCTGAGATGAAAAATGGCTCAGAAATTAAGGGCACTGGTTTGCAAATACCTGGGTTTAATTCTCATCACCCACATGGCAGCTCACAACCACCTGTAATTTCAGACCCAGAGGACTGGAAGCCCTCTTCTGGCTTCAGTGGGCACTGTACACCCATGGTACAGCCACACATTTAGGCAAAACGCCCATACATGTAAAATAAAGTAAGTAAAATCTCAAAGTCCTAAGTTGGATCCTAAAGCATGGCAGATAGGAAATACAACTAAACAAAATGAAACGGGAAGAAGAGCAAGCAGTGACCCGCAGGGTCAACCAACTAAGAAACCCTCACATGGGCAGTATCAGAAAGACATTTAGAGCACAACTCAACACTTCAGGCTCTTTTTGAATTAATACTGATTGAGAGGACCCAGTAATGTGCTCTTCCCGCCCCAAACAAAGCAATCCCTTGTTCTAGCCAACATTCTTTGTCCATCTAGGAAAAGCATTATTTTCCACTGAGGACAAAGTCTCACAGGAGAAGGGACAGAGTGGACACACAACCCATGGGATGTTCTAGCCTCCAAGCTCAATAGTGATGTCCCTGGAACGTGGAAGATCAAGGAGACACACAGCTCCAAGTGTAGGGGACTTGACGTTCTCGACAAAGTAAGTATTTAGGATTTTGTTTTTGTTTTTTTAAAGGATGCTTAAAGCACGCTGTCTTCCAAAAATCCAGAGATAATTTTAGATTGAAAAAAATCTAGGCTTGCCAAGGGAATCTGAGAACTTTTCTATCTTGGTCTCCAATGCTAACCTACGTATTCGTGTGCAAAAATAGAGGAAGATTAGAATCTCAAATGCCAGACTGAAAAGTTGCCACAACAAACCTGCACTCTTCATATGGAGTCCGTTATCATATGTCAGCCAGAGAGCAAATGGAACAGCAACGAAACCTTTTAATATATTTCCTATGTATATATATATATATATATATCATATTTACACCAAATGTAAAGTATTCCCTGAACTTGTAAAGGAGACATTTTTTTAAGATTGCAAAAAGAAAAAATTATATTATTTTCAAGGCACATAAAAATATTCAAACACATACCAGATCAAATCTGTAAGTAGCCCTTTGCAAATACATTCTTAGAACTTTAAGCCTAAAATAAGACTTGTTGAGGAAGTTAAAGTTTATTACGGTTACTGGATGACTACCCTGCCACTTGGGAAATAGATCTTAAAATAAAAATAAAAACAAAAAGGCTGGGCCTGTTAGCCTATGGTTCTAATTCCAGCACTTGAGAAGCAGAAGTAGAGAGATCTCTGTGAGTTTAGGACCAGCCTGGGCTACACAGTGAGACCCTGTCTCAAATAAGTAAATGAGTAAGTAAAAACAAACAAAAAGGTTAAAAAAAATTTTAGGCAATTATGAGAAGCAAACATAAACGGGATTTTCTACAATACTGGGTTTGAGATTTCCAAATATATCAACAAGGCGAAAAACGGAATGTTACCTTTGACCCCCATTTGTAAATTTATCCCAAGAAGACAAAAAATCAGATAAATCTTTTTTGGCATAAGTATTTATCTTGTGACAAAGAGGAAAACAAATAGTCATCAGGGCTTGGATAAATTATGGTACCCGATGGTCTACATACAACAAACATACAAAATGACACACACACACACATAAAAACGTACGTGTGTGTGTGTGTGTGTGTGTATATATATATATATATGCATTGACTGATGTCACCAAAATCTTAGCAGTGGTTGTCACCTTGTCCTAGGTTGTGGGGCCGTGGTCATTTTCTCCCCTGACACTAGCGTGCTGCCGAGAATGTTTTTACAAGGACAGAAGAATGAATCGCTTTCATAATGGCAGTGGGTGAGGAAGGGCACGGACGAGCTATTTTCAAATTGGGGGCTCCCCAGGCTGAGCATTTCCCAGGCAAATTTGGCTAAAGTATAAACAAAATTCTTATCATGCCAAGCAGGCGTGCTCTTTTCCCTTGCTCCACGCGGGGCAGGAAGACACACCCCTGACCCCTGCGCTCGCCCCGCGGGCGTGGATCCTTCCTAGCCCTAGCCCAGCCTTGGCCCTCCCGACCCCCGCCGCACCCACGGGCTCAGAGGGGAGCCAAGAAGGGGCGCGAGGACGGCCGGGCAGCCGCGAGGCGGCCTGAGGGCAGCAGCGCCCGCCCGTGCCCGTGGACCCAAGTCGCCCACAGGCCGCCAGCCCTTCGCGCACCGCGCAGCGAGCTTCCGGGAGCAGATCCCCCGCGGCGGCCCAAAGCAGAGTCGTGCGTCCTTCAGAGCCGACGCGCCCCCAAGGGTCTCAGTCCCGGGCGCGCGCGGAGAGGCCCCTCCGGGCTTCCGTCCACCCCGCCAGCGCCCGCCGAGCCCGGCGTCCTCCACAGCAGACGAGTGAGGGACGGCGCCGAGGAAAGCGGAGCTCCCCGAGGTCGCCTCGATGCCAGCCGCTATGGCGACCCGTCGCTTGCCGCCCACAGTCAGCCCCGCAGACCCGCGCCCACCAGCGCCCGTACCTCACCTGCGACGCGCCCCGGCTCTCAGCGCACCGCCCGGACCGGCTGTGTACACCGGAAGTGACGTCCGCGGCCGGCCCCGCCCCCGCCCCAGGCGGCCGCTGCGGTTCCCGGCCAGAGGCCCCCCCCCCCCCCCCCCCCCCCCCCCCCCCCCCCCCCCCCCCCGTGCTAGCTGGGCAGCCGTGCTGCTTAAAGTCTCTCGGGGTTTCCAGCCCCTGCCAGCACTCTGTAGGAGGTCTCGGTTGCTTGATTGATCATTGAAAATTGATGACTGAAACATTGATCGCTAGACACCAGTACCTGACAGGCTGTGCAGAAGCGGAATAGTACTAGCACCTTCAGGAGTTGAGTCGCGGATGATGGCAAGAGAATACTAGTGTCACCAATCCGTGCGATGATGTTGTAGTGCAGATGGTAGGAGGGGAAAGTGGAAGAGGAAAGGAGTACCCTGACCTAGTGGGTGATCAGGGAATTAGCCCCAGGGAAGGACCAGAAGCTGAGATCCTAAGAAGAAAAAAAAAGGGGGGGGGGATTGTAAAACAAACATTGGAAGAATGGCTCAGTGGTTAAGAGCACGGACTGAGACTCCAGAGGACACTGGTTCAGTTCTCAGCAACCACATGACAGCTAACAACTGGTAACTCTTGACAGCCTCACACATGCAGGCAAAACACCAATGCACATAAAATAAAAATAAATAAAGTATTGCCAGGCGGTGGTGGCATTAAGCCTTTAATCCCAGCACTCAGGAGGCAGAGACAGGAAGGATCTCTGTGAGTTCAAGACCAGCCTGGTCTACAGAGCTAGTTCCAGGACAGGCTCCAAAGCTAAATAGAGAAAACCAAAAACAAATAAAACACCTGAAGGAGCACAATATGACGACACACAGCAAAAAGAACAGGCAAGAGGGACCTGGGTGTAGCTCAGCTTGTGCCGGCTCATATTAGAAGGCCTAGGCTTTGCAAAGAGGGTCTGAGAGATTAATAAACAAATGTTTTAGGCCGGGAGTGGTGGCATATGCCTTTAATAGCAGCACTCAGGAGACAGAAGCAGATCTCTGTGAATTTGAGCTCAGCCTGGTCTACATAACACATTCAGGGCCAGCCAGAGCTACATAGTAAGATGCTGTCTCAAAAAAGAAAGAAATGTTTTCCAGTTTGGCATTGGCATAAAAACAGACAGGTGGACCAATGGAATTGAATCTAAGACCCTGATATTAATCCATACAACTTTGAACACCTCAGTTTTTACAAAGAAGCTAAAAATATAAAATGGAAGATAGAAAACATCTTCAACAAATGGTGCTGGCATACCTAGATATCGACATGTAGAAGAATGTAAAGAGATCCATGCACAAGACTCAAGTCCAAATGGATCAAAAACCTCAACATAAATCCATCCACATTGAACCTCATAAAAGAAAAAGTGGGAAGTACACTTGAACACATTTGTACAGGAGACCACTTCCTAAATATAACATCAGTAGCACAGACACTGAGAGCAACAACTAATAAATGGGACCTCCTTCGGTAAAGCAAAGGACACAGTCAACAAGACAAAGCGACTGCCTGAAAATGGGGAAAGATCTTCTCCAACTCCACATCCGACAGAGGGTTGATCTCCAAAATATACAAAGAACTCAAGAAGCTAGACATCAAACCACCAAATAATCCAATTAAAAATGGGGTACACTTCTAAACAGAGAATTCTCAACAGAAGAATTTCAAATGGCCAAAAGACACTTAACGAAATGCTCAACATCCTTAGCCATCAGAGAAATGCAAATCAAAACAACTCTAAGATTCCATTTTATACCAGTCAGAATGGCTAAGATCAACAACACGGAGGACAGCTTATGCAGGAGAGGATGTGGAGTAAGGGGAACACTCCTGCAGTTGCTGGTGGGACTGCAAACTGGTACAGCCCCTTTGGACATCAGTATGGCGATTTCTCAGAATATTAGGAATCAATCTACTTCAAGACCACTTTTGGGCATATACCCAAAGGAAGCACACTCACACCACAAGAACATTTGCTCGACATGTTCATAGTAGCATATTCATAGTAACCAGAATCTGGAAACACCTAGAGGCCCCTCAACCACAGAATGGATAAAAAGAAAATGTGGTACATTTACACAAAAGAGTACTAGTCAGCAGTAAAAAAAACAACGATACCTTGAAATTTGCAGGCAAATAGACGGCTCTAGAATAAAACCATACTGAGTGAGGTAACTCAGACCCAGAAAGACAAATACAGTATGTGCTCACTCATAAATGGATACCAGATATAAACAAAGGATAACCAGGCTATAGTCCACACCCCAGAGAAGCTAGAACCCTCTTCCAGAAACGGAAGTGCGTGCAGAAATACACAACTAACCACTGGGCAGAGCACCCAGAGTACAATCAAAGAAAGGGAGAAGCGATAAGATGAACAAAGGGGCCAAGACCGTGAAAGGGAAGCTCACAGAATCAGCTGACCTGAGCTAGTGATCACAGACTCCGGACTGACAACTGGGGAACCTGCATAGAACCGAACTAGGACCCCTGAATACAGGTGACAATGGTATGATTTGGGCAGTGTAAGGGGTCACTGACAGTGGGACCAGAATCTAACTCTAATGCATGAACTAACTTTGTGGAGCCCATTCTCTATAGAGAGATACCTTGCTCAGCTTTGACATGGGAATAGGGGACTTGGTCCTGCCTCAGGAGGTGATGGCACAGACTTGGTTGACTTCTCATGGGGAGCCTTACCCTCTCTGAGGAGCAGATGGGGATGTGGGGGAGGAAGAAAGGAAGAGAATTGGGATTGGTATGTACAAAATAATTTAAAAAAAAGAGAGAGAGAGAGATTTTCAAATGTTTCATCTTCAAGAAACTAGAGAATGTTGCAAAACCCCAGTTTTAAACAGGGGACATTTTGATCACACTTGGGGAGCTCTCAGGATTGCTCTGGCTGTAGTATGAAAGGGGGTGCAAGAATGAATGCATGGGGCCAAGATTCAGTTTCACAATGGAGAAGCCTTGGAGGAAAGCATGGATGTAGACTTTGATGCAGTTTATGAAAGCAACAAGACCTTTCAGGACTGGAGTGTGTTTGGCCCAAGGACCTAGGATGCTAGACACTCAGTGATCACCAAAGATCCATGTGGGATAGCAACTACAAAATTGTCTGTCTCACACTGCTAAAGATTAAAGACACAAACACTGTAGGAGTGCGATGGAGGTAATCTTTATTAAAGAGAAATAAAGAAAAGCAAAAAAAGTAAGGAAGGGTGAGGGAGACTCCCGAGGTGTATAGATTGAGCATAGAAGGAAAGTGAGGCTCAGCCTGGGGGTCACAAATTGGTCCTGGAGCTTTTTGTGAGGCTCTGGCTGAAGACTGGGGCGATGTTCTCAGCTGGCTCCTTAGAGGATGCTATATTCTGGGGCCCGCGGTGGCTCGGTGACTAAGAGCACTGGGACTCTTTCTCGCCAAGGATCTTGATGTGGGTCCCAGCACCACAGGGTGCTTCACAACCATCTGAAACTCCGGTTCCAGGATATCTGATACCCTCTTCTGACCTCCTCAGCCACCAGGCACTCGTAGGACACACATAGATACATGCACGCAAAGCACTCATACACATAAAAGAAAATAAATCTATTTTAAAAATTAAGACCACCCTAGAGGCCGAGGTAGGTGAATCTCTGTGAGTCCAAGGCCAGCCTGGTGTACAGAGCTAGTTCCAGGACAACTAGGGCTACACAGAGAAACCCTGTCTCAAAAAGCAAAAGATAAAATAAGACCATATTCTATGTATGCTATTATTGTCTAGCCATCAAAAGGTTCACACTCACCAGGCAGTGGTGGTGCACGCCTTTAATCCCAGCACTCGGGAGGCAGAGACCGTGGATCTCTGTGAGTTTGAGGTGAGCCTTGTCTACAGAGCAAGTTTCAGGACAAGTTCCAAAGCTACAGAAAAACCCTGTCTCGAAAAAAGTTCACACTCTGTTTGCATGTTGCCTACCAGTCAGGAGTGGTTGAACCCCATTGGCCGTCAAGTATTGCCAACTGCACCAAGCTATCCCATTCTCAAAGCTCCTTGTCTCTGGGGGAACTGGCATCTCATTCCTGGAATAAGTGGAGGTTTTCTTAGAAACTAGCTGTTACCAGTTGGCTGCCTTAGAGGCAGGACCTTGGAAAACAGCAACAGTGCTTAGCATATGCGTCCCCAGGGTGAGTTCTCACAGAATCTGGCTTGCTCCTATAGCCTAGCTTCTCAGAGTCTGTCTCTCATCAGGTCTGCTTGGCTGCCTCAAAACCAGCTGCAAGCTTCTGTCTCTCATCCATAGTGTTCCTGGCCCTTACTGTTTTAACCCTTAACATTCCTTTCAACCCTGAAGTCCATTCTCACTATGATACACGTGAACCGCTGGTTGTTTCACCATGGGCCTTTTCCCCACACTGTCTAAATCCTGGACCAATGTGTACTGTGTTCATAGTAGGATTACCCATAATAGTCAAAGGGCAGAAACAATCCAATGTCCATCCACCAACAAGTGTTTAAACAAAATGTGGCAGATACATAGACTATCATTCAGTCTTAAAAAAGAGAGGAGATTGGGGCTGGGGGTTGGCTCCGTAGTAGAACCCTTGATTAGCATGTGCCAAGGCCTGGATTAAAATCCTGGTATCACAAAAGAAAGTGTAGAAAGTAAGAGAAGGAGGAAAAAGAAAAGATGGTGCCAGAGCTGGGTGTGGTGATGGAACAGGCAGCTAGGCAGAGGCAGGAGGATCAGTTCTCCTTCTACCACATAGCAAGTTAAACCAGGCTTGGCTGCGTGAAACTTTGTCTCATAAGAAAATTTAAAATTAGCTGGGTAGTGGTGGCACACTCCTTTAATCCTCTCACTCAGGAGGCAGAGGTAGGTGGATCTCTGAGTTCGAGGCCAGCCTGGTCTACAGAACAAGTTCCAGACAGCAATGACTATACAGAAAAACCCTATCTCGAAAAAACAGAAAAGGAAATGGAAATTCTGACCCACAATACAAATGGATAAACCTTGATTCCCTTTTTTAATTT